CTCTAGTCCGCTGGCTTGTTGAACGGAACTGTGTTCGTGAGCACTCCCTCCTTCTGCAGGACATCAGTTATCCGTCATCACCAACATTGCGCCTGTGCTCAGCGTCTACGCACTCGAACACATCCACTTTCGCAACGTCCGCAAATATACCATTCCCACATTTTTTCATATTAGATTGTGTATTGTTAGTCTTATTCTTTTTCTAATTGTTAATATCATTCCCTTTCTTTTCTTATACTGTACACTATCCCTTCTACGCATAATGCGCTAAGGAAATACGACGGCTTTGTACTAATGTAAGAAACTCGTCATAAAACACCTTAAGAGTGCTACTTTTGGATAGAGATGACTCCCCCTTCCAAGCTTCCATCAAATTTTTCAGATTTAATACAAGGGAATCAGCAGTTGCACATACAACCTACAACGCACTTTGCCATCTTTGTCAACGCATATCTGCCATGCACAACTCGGAAACGTTGCAACCCAGATCCTTAAAAGCAGCTACATTTCTTGTGCTGTAATCCACAATACGACCCTGTTATGAACGTTAGATAAAACCTTTGTAGGATACCCCTGCCCGTAGCATGAATTGTTTGAAAAATGAAATTGGATTAAAGTCCGAAGGTATTTTCTTTCAAAGCATTTGTTTCAAAGCTGAGGAATGTTTGAGAGTCTAGCTAGTAATTCTGGTCTTTCGTGTGCACTCTCATTGACTGTTGTTGCTCTTGTCATTATACTCAGTGCAACGGCCATAGTAAAGCCCTCGGGGCAAAGCCTTCCTTTTTGCACTGCGTTGTTCGGATCATCTCGCCTACCCAGTTGTGTTACATGTGTCGTACTATTTAATCTCATTCGTACATTAGCTTGCCGCTGCGTATCTCCTACATTAACACTTCTTTTTCCACATATCTCGATTTGAGCCTGTCATTATTTATTACCCTTCACTTAAAACGTAAACTACTCTGCCTCTTTCAACAACCTTTACACACCAAATCACTTCTCAGTATGACCTTTCCTGAAGTTCCTCGTACTTCTTCTCTCCATCTGTTCCAACTTCGGGTTGTTCAGCGAGATACAATCGTGTCACCCCCTCGCCCCTCGCTACTGCCCCCGTTGCTTCTAAGCGCTTTCCTCCTGCCAGCACAGCCCGAAGGATGGCCGCAAACGTAATCTAGTAGCGTATTATTCCCAACGCCCGCAAAGAGCAAGTCACAAGGAGGAAATAAAACAGCTCCCCCTCGTGTTCCGCGCCACTGAACACCCTAATTTAATTATGCTGCGCAGCTTACAAAAGCACCTTGAAATATTGCTGTGGAGAACACAATGAGGTGATAAACATCTGTGTACAATACCTACCGTTCACACTTTGTTGGAAAATGTCTGGATTTATCGCTGCTTTGACATTCAAATAAGATTTAAGACGAGACTGATTTTACTGTTTTCATATTTTCTCATTATGAATGTCGATAATTCGTGTGTGGAAACTTTGTAGTAGGGGCAGAATCGACACATGTTGACTCAAACAATACAAGCACCAGTCACTGAGATTTTCAAAACGCAGTATTTTGTTAGAATCAATTATGTTTGTAAATGAATCGAGAATATGAAAAAAATCGGGAGAGGGTGTAATAAATTTTCCAAATTTATTTTCTTTTTACATTACTTTCTATTATTTATTGTGTATTATTAACACATTAATGATCTAAGATTGTTTACGTGATACCAATTTTATTCCCCCATTATACTGTTAAAAATGCATTATACGTACTGTATATTATATTACTACGTTGCTACGTGATATTTGATTATCCACTGCCGTCCTTAGAACTAATACTGAATACCAATAAATAATATTTTTTGTAAAAATTGTGTAAGGAAGTAATAAACACCCGTTTTTTTACTAATGCATGTTAGATTTAGAATGAAACTGCAGGTGAAAGTAAATAAATTAAATTAAACTGATCTACGAATTTTAGGTTCCATAAAGTAAAATTCTAACTTTAAATGAAATTTCTCATACTTGTAAGCATTGATAAGCATTGCTTTCTAGTAGAATATTCTGTTGTATTATCAGAGATATTCAAAATGCCAAGCACTCTGACTTACAATTAGAACCCGTATGACTATGCTATTAGCTGAAAATAAATGTCCGCGCCACGTGCAATCGCCGGCAGCGAAGGGGGAAGCCTTCTCGGCGAGCTTTAATCAAGCGGGAGGGGAACGGCGCGATGGGAGGAGGCCAGGAAATTTTCCGCGCCGTCGCGCTCGGCAGCTGGTGGGGCAGCGGCAGCAAAGGGTGAACACAGAGTGGGCTGCGCTGGCGATCCAGAGATGACACGAAAAAAGAGTCATCGCCATAGCCTCAGCAGCTTCAACTACAGCACCCAGCCCTAACCCAAGATCACCGTTTGCGACATTAATGGCGCTGTTTCACAGCCAAAGCCCTCTCAACTGCTCGGTTATAAGACCGATCCCGGTCCCGGTCATTATAGCGATCACTTTAACTTTTAATTTTGAGGTAATGAGTATGAGTGGGGTACACTACATACTAACAACATACACAAGAATTCATTCGGGGGGGGGGGGTGAAATACGCAACCTTTAAGCCAAGGTAGCTAGGGCCCTTCATCCGCTAGAGACCTCGACTCTCCAGGCCGACATTGCTAGACCCTTTCGTTCTCACACTCTTTCAACATTCCGATGGTATTTGTCAGATGCACTCACCATGGCAACCTCCACTGTCGATCTTCATTGCTACGTGCGCTGCCCCAATCGCCTTGCTCGGCAGCTGCGACGCCCAGACGCCTCACCATCGCCACCGCAACCGCAACGTATCAATCACGCGATACTCGCGCTCCCGGCGCCGACATCTTTTCTACCCGTCCGCGACACGGGGCGGGGGGGGGGACGCAGCGCCAAGCGCCTCATCGTCATCGGGCAGTTAATGAGTCGTGCATGAGTTATGGCGGCGGATCTGCATAAAGGCGCTGGGGTCGCCCGCGCCGCGCCGGCTCTGTTGCAGCCCGAACCGTCGCCGAGCGCGTATTAGTTGTTTTACGAGCCGGAACGATGTATGGCGGTGTTGTGTTCTACTTGTAATAGTTTCGTAATTATGATCCCGAGAGCCTCAGTCTGATGCACTCTTCACGTTTTTCTACCAACTCCGTCTCTTCAGGTCACGTTCCTAGTAGTGAGGATTAAATCAACACAATAACAAGAGTAATACCGGGAAGGAAGTCTCATATAAAAAGGGGAAATTGGCGTAAGCTATGCCATGTAAATAAATATTGTTTTTCCTGTGCGAATTATATGTTCTAAATCTTGGTGAGAAAATTTTATGAAGAATATTGAACAGATGAAAGAAATATATTTTTACTGATTGTGTTGTCGTTTAATGTGAACATGTGAGTGTGGTCTGTACTATAACAGTACAATATTGTTAAAGAAGCTCAGGGGGCTCCATAATTTGCAATAATTCGTTTTGTTTTTTTATTACAATATTTTAAACGTCTTCATCTTGTCATGGGCACCAATGATTCTTTCGTAGCTTCTTCATTGCACATCATGAGCTCGACAATCAACCAACTTTATGTGTAATACAATTCATATTATTAACGAAAGAACAGCGGAATAATTTGTAGGTCTAAAGCAAGGTAACTCCAACTTTTGCTATATATTTTTCCAAAATATTCTCTTCAACAGCACTCCGGCATTCCTTATTTTCATTCGCAGTGGCCCACAGTGTCCCGGTCTTCAGTCTCGCTTTATGGACAGCTAAACGGCATGAATCCTTACGTGAAGCAAAGCTACAGTTGGAAAGCCTGCATTTCCATTTAAACCGCATTAGCGAATGAAACAAAAGTACAAGACCTAATTTTTACTGCCCTCGCTCCCCGTCCATAAAACGCCGCAGGGGTTCGCGTGCACCTTGGCATCCGCGATGAGGAGAGGGGGGAGGGGAGGGGTTTGTAAACGAAAGCGCCAGGAGCCCTGCCCTCGACAAACAGGCGGCAGGTGCTGCTGAAGAAACACTTGGCTGCCGGTAAAAGTGGTGCCGACCATTTTCAATTCGGATGTCGATGTCGCGAATTCAGCAACTTATTCTTTGTGCACTAGAAACAGGAGAACGCTAAGAATGTGCAGTTTTGTGTTGATTCAAGGTACAACTCCTAAATGCCACATTCGCCTTTTATTATTTCCACCGAAAAAAATTCAAAAATAAATGAGGTAAACAAGTGCGCACCAGTTACTTGGTGGGAAGCGAAAGAATGCAGCACGATATGCAGACAGGGATGATATAACGTTTCCAGCGTACTAGAACCTCTCTTTGAAGACTTTTCATGTTAAGTTACGAATAATGAACTTTAAATCAGAGGAAGGCATAAAATGTTTTAGAACGTATTATTCATAAATTGATGAAAAAATGAAAATTATTTTATTTGTCACTTTTGCAACTATCGAAAATTTTAGGAAGGAAACATACTAATTGTTAAAAATCGATTAATTGACTCGCCTTGGAAAATATTACGTTTAATTTTTGATCATATAATAGTATTTGTACTTTAAATTTATAATTTCTATTAAAAAAATACAAATGTTCATTCAAACCATGACCAATAAATTGTATTTGGTTTAATATTAAAATTAAAAGTGTTAATCAACATTTTTGCATGCAAATCAAGGTAAGATAGAAATATTACTTCAAGAATCCGTAACAAGAGTAACCTTATTTTTACATACATTGCATCCCTTATTGATATTCCCTTATAGCATTCAATAAGTTCCAACGACTCTCCTCACAGTAATTCAATTCACTTCTGTATCATTTTCAATTAAAACATTCATTTTTTAAGAGAGTATGTGATTGTTGCTTCTTGATCCGATGGATCAGAGGGTAAAGTATTTCAAAACGTTTACTCCACGCGTGCGGTCGGCGTTGTCATCGGAGGCTAAGTGACTTTCGTGAGTGCGTTCACTGACAGTTGCCTCTTTGCGAAGGGCTTCGTCAGAATCCCGTGCACCTTCACCGCCCTGCATGTCGTTATTTGCTTCGCGAGCTGTGGAAGCGGGCGGTGGGAGTGACTCTTGTCTGCTTGTGCTGCCTCTTAGCCGACCGATGCCCGTGGCCTGAGCGCGTGCCTCCCGCCTGCGCAGACAAGGTGGGCGATGGCGGCGGCGGCGGCGGCGGCGGCGGCGGAGGCGGCAAGAAGCCCGCCAAGTCGAAGCGCGTACGCACCATCTTCACGCCGGAGCAGCTGGAGCGGCTGGAGGCGGAGTTCGAGCGCCAGCAGTACATGGTGGGCCCCGAGCGCCTGTACCTGGCGCACGCGCTGCAGCTCACCGAGGCGCAGGTGAGGCCCGAACTGTGAAGCGTGTGTAAAGGAAGCCTGATCGCTGGGTGCCATCGGGCTATTCCCCGATGTAAGGGGTTAGAGAGAGTTCTGAAATCATGGGCGAATGCTTCTCTGATCAGGCGGCACTCTGGTTATGGTCAATGGTTTATATTAACGGGTACTGCTTTGGTCATAGGCGGTTTACGGCAGATTCAATGTTTACAAGATTAAAATTGCGACTTGATAACAACCTTATTATAGGTGAAAGGGTCTATGATTAAAAACCCTGAGAGTCGTGTTATTAAAAGGTGACCTAAAGTACGTAATTCACTGATTCAATTAGGACACATTACATTCCAATAACAAGTCTAATAACGTGTTGTTTGTTTTCATTCCCTCTGTCTGAGGGCCGGCACGTGTCAGGCGAGCGCTGGGGCTCAACGGCTGCACTAGTGCGCAGCACCAGGCTCTTCTCTTGGGGTACTCCAGTGAAGACGTTAAAACTGATCACATCACTCGCGAGTGTATATCTTAGTGTAAAGTATAACGCATTACAGAAATCTTTGCCAGTTTGCCCATAGTTTAGGAGTATTGAGAAAGAAGTACTTCTATAGAAACAAAAATGATCATATACGCTGCTCATCTGCCGCCTTATTAACTATCAACATCAAGAGAATTCATCTTTACAGCAGATTGCATGTATTTGATAAAGTAATAAAAATAATACTACTTTGCATCAACCATTTCGCCAATTGAATTTAAAATATATTACGTTTACACTACGCAGCTGGATTATTAGCGGATTGGAGAGTCGTGAATAATATACTAAAATAATTACTGGACAATGAATTATGAAAATATTGTTTGTTTGTCGCATTCTTTATTGTTGAGAGCTGTGAGGAGTCAGCTCAAAGCCCAAGCAGGCGCTAGGCATGGACACACCAGGCGATCGCTCAAGGTCCCGCAAGTCGAGTTGTAAAAGACATTAGCACTCCAGAAATTAGTGTTCGTAATTTTATACGTCACAGTACAGTAGTTTGATTTTCCATAAAATCTCAATAACAAGATACCACAAGGAGGAATTTAGTGAAGAGTGAGACAATGAATAAAATGCGCTTTTTTCCCACGCGACGTAAATTGCAAATAATTTTAGCGCTCGTGTTTGCCTAACCGGCCCAATATGTTTCAAATACGAGACAAAAGTTTAGTTACAAGCACAACAATGTCTTCAATATGCCGAAAGAACTATCGATCCTCACAACTGTTGTTATGTTTTGCAGATGTTATATAGTTCTATCAAGGTCCCGAAAGGAAATTTAATAAATAGTATTCATTGAAAGAGTTGCCTTTGATGAAACCCTAATATCACCTCATTTTCGATTATTCAATATCAATAATTATTTGATTAGGAATAGAAAAATAACGCAAAGCACTGAAGCCATTATACATCCAACCACAATATAAAATAATTGATTATACAAACGAAGTGTACTTTTTACATTAAAAAATGTTAGCTATCTTTCCATCGGATATACAATATAGTTGTTATTTAAAAACACAAGGTTTTCTCACCCAAATTAAAAACAGTAGTACAATAATACGCATTTATTATATTATTTTTCTTCGGTAGGAACGGTTTGCTATCGATTTAAACAAGTATTCTTAAATAAAGACAATATAATATAATATAATTTCAGAAAAGTAAGAATAAGGTTTACGCAGAAAGTGAATATTTAGAATGTTTGAGCACTTCTCTTATCTTATAGTAAAGGTTGAATTTAACATAGTAAAATTCTGTGCTCATATCTTGACAGAATTCTGACACTTCAGATACCCGATAATGAATTAAGTTTCTTAAATATCCAGGAGTTACCTGTAATTCTGTTTTGTTCGTACATTTGTTGACTTCCGTTACGCTTATGTAGTGACTTATGTACTTAGGTATTACGTACTTCCTTAGGGGCCCCCTTCGCACCTCTAACGTAAACAACCGTCCCGAAGTATTCGAATTACACATCATAACATTGTCAGCTGCATTCCAGACGCCTTGTTTGGAGAACAGCTCGCGTGAAGGACGTTGTCGACGCCCCACTGACCGGACCCGTCTGCCCGCAGGTAAAAGTCTGGTTCCAAAACCGCCGCATCAAGTGGCGCAAGCAGCACCTGGAGATGCAACAGCAGCGGCTGGCGGCGCTCAAACAGCAGCAGCAGCTGCAGCACCAGCAGCTGGACATGGAGGAACAGCGAGGCGAACAGAACAGCGGGGGAACGATGGGCGTGTTCTGCCGGTGCGCCCGAGTTAGGGGGCGCGAAGGCGGCGCGGCGCGCGTGGGCGCGCCCAGCGCCGCCGAGCCCTGCGGCTGTTCTCCGCCCGGCCGCCAGCCCCTGCCCCGACGAGTAGGCGGCGCCCCGGGCACACGCACAGCTGCAAGTGGAAAGCGACACGAACTGCACGAACAGGTGTCGAATACCAGACTGCTCTGGCCCCGACACGCTGCGACACATTGCTGTGTTTTCCTCGAGCTATAAGAAATGTTCTTACATGGTCATGTATACAGTTATTCTAAGGTGTGGAAAAACGTATCTTTTCAGTTTCCGAAACGTGAAAAAGCAAATTGTTAGTTGCTACGAGAAAATCAATAGTGAACTGTATCTCTACGACTAATCTTTTCAGCGCATTATACAAAGGTACTTCACACGTTGGAATAAGTGTGAATAGTTAATGAGACTCGTCTGAATAAGAAACCGCAAGAATTGCCGAAGAAGAAGACCAAAGATAACGACCTACGTACTTAAGATTATTAGAAACTTCCGCTCTCAGAAACACCGAGAGAGCACTGCAATCATTAAGAAGGCTCGATAATTAGTCGGGGGGCTCCGAGATAGCCTTCGATCGCGAGTCCGCGGTCAGAAACTTAGAGCCAAATAGAGCGTAAAATGAATCGTATTATTCGGCAAAAGCGAAGTTTGAAGTAAGGGGAAGATCGTGTTCATCTCAATAAACCCGTGTCCCCAGCAGGCGCGCGCATCGGAGGGCCCTCCAAGTTAGCGCACGAACAATGCGGCAACCGAAGGCGGAGGACACCCTGGGCCCAACTTTGGCAACTTCTTCAATAGAATCGATGGCTGGGACCCTCGGAAAGGGTCGGGTCGGCTACCCCCTCCAGCCCACGGCGCCACGAATGCCCCGCCCACGGCAGCCCTTCCCATCGCCACCGTCACTTTGTTACCTTGTCCTTTCTGCTCAGCCCGCGGACTTCTCTTGTCTTCATCGTGTTGCGCTTCCGTCATTTTTACCTCCCGCACTGTGGTCTTCGAAGTTCCCTAGCCTCCGCCACCACCATCATTACCCCAACCATGAGCGTGACGGTCACCGTCACTGCCGTCATCTTCCTCACCGCCATCTCTGCTTCTTCCACGACCTCCCCCCCCCCCGCCGTTGCCGACCGAACTTCGTGTCTGGCGCAGAGGGTGCGACGGGCGCGGGCGCGGGCGCGGGCGCGGGGGCGGCCAGGCAACGAACGCGCTTGCCTACAATGCCCCGAGCGGCTGTGGCTCGCAACACTTTGATCAGCAAACTGCGGCTTTAGCGACGAGTAATCTGAGCCCTTGGAAGGTTAATTTGTCGGACGCACTCGGTAAACTTCAGCCGCCACTTGCTTACCCCGGCGTTCGACTCTATTGACCGGCGGTCCACGCGCCCTCGACCTGCTCGACTTTGCGCTAATCAATTAGCCTTAACTATGCGCCGACGAGCTGCCTGGTCGGGGATTGCAAGCAGCTTTGTTCAATTCAAGAGAATTGCAGGCTTCCTCGAACTAGCAACAAATCTGATGGAAGATCGAAGAATGAAGTGCATTCACAAAAGTAACGTGCTTGTTATTTTCTGCCAATAAAAGTTCTCAGTAAAGATAATGGTGAACCAAATTTTTTGCTAGTGATAATTTGAAACATTCTCCTTATTTTGTGAGAGCGAGACTGCAGGATGATTTTGCCATTCACCACAAATAATCGTCTTTCATGTAAATAAAGATTAATTTGGTTGCACCGAACAAGATAAAGTGGCGCGTAAGTTCTTTGTCTGATTTGTAATTGGTCTCATCGTAATGTATTCTAAAAGCACTGTATTGCGCGGTTCCTATGACGTTGTATGTTCTTATCATAAGATGTCCGTCTTCAGCGCACCTTTTTCGCAGAACTCTGCCTCTAGGACTTTCCCTCGTGTCACGGCAGTGCGTCGCCAACGACATTTGGGAGCACTGCCTAGGCATCAACTCTTGATGTATCTTCAAAGAACATTGTTTCCAACTCACTTGCTCTGAGCACATCGAAATCCCTGTAAACGTGTAAATAAATTGTGATATTGTTTCATGAATTCGAATGCTGATTTCTTCTGTAATAATATATGTAATGAGAGGGTGTATATTTGTCTGTATCATAGCTATAGAACAGAGCATTGCACTGCATAAGCGCTCTGTCAATAAGTAAAGAATATTTGTTGAAGCACACCAGCGATGTACAATGCATGTTTGTATGTATGTGTTACATCAAAATAGATTTTATCAAAAACGTTTTCCTTTAATATCAAACAAAAAAAAAGACAATTCCTGACCCATCCATCCAAGCATCAACATGTGTTCGCTTCTCGTTTAAAAAGCATGGAATATGCTCTTCTTCGTCCTGCACACTGCATGTGGAGGGGCTATCACTTATCCCATATTCACCGTGTATCCAGCGTAAGATAAAGGACGAGACGTTCTCGCTTGAAAAGTTGAAAGCTTAATAAATTTCTTGACAACCGGGAGAGAGGAATAAGAAAACGATTTCCAGGGGGAAAGAAAAAAACGACGGACGAAAAGAGGGGGATGAGCAGCTACTTGTGGAGCGGTAGGGTTTCATCATTTTTATGCATAGGAGGAGGACCGGCGCCGCGCAGGCAGACGGGGAGCGGGGAAAGCGGGCTTCCGCGTGTTCTTGAAACGCAGCCGCGGTTATTGAAGAGCTGCTACAAAGCTACCGCCGCCATCGCCATCCCCACGGCCGCCGTCGCCGTCGCCGTCGCCTGAGACCATATTGAACCTCGTCTGCAAAGGAATATCGCGTGTTCGCCACGACTGCTTCCAGCCCGTGTTCCGGTTTTGCCGCTCTTTTCGTACCGGTACTGTGGGAAAAGAAGTTTGGGGTCCCTTCCCAAATCCCTCACACTAGTTTCGTGTTGGATCATCTTTTTAATAAAGCATAGGGCATATAATTACGTACAAACGTAACCAAGTAATTAATTATCATCAGTTTTATTGAAGTTCAGAGAATTCTGGACGTGTCTCAACAGCAAAAGGAAGACTGAGAATGAAAATGTATAACACAGTACAGTAATACGAATGATGATTATAATTAATTGTGTAAAAAGAAAGTTTAAAATAGTCTGTTTTGTAGTTCCTCTAGTACTCATCATTATTCCTTTCCTTAGTCTGCAATCATCTCGCATGGTTTCCCCTTTTTTATCAGTATGTGCTTCTGATTACTAGAAATTCGTGTGCGATGTATTTCGTTTAGGAAATACGTGCAACTCAGTAGGAACCTATTATTGCGGTTCAGTCATCAGTGCATATTGATCTCCTTCCCTTTCTGCCTTTTAGCTTTTTTGCTGCTTTTACCGATGCTCGTGTAGTTTGTTCATTTTATTATGCTGCCGTTTCTCCTTAGCACTGCACCCCCACCCCTTCAGTGCCTTTGACGCTAATTCTACTTCTTTGAATGATACTGCATTATATCGCCAAGCCTCCACCAGTGCCATTTCGTCGTTTGTTCACATTTGCATTTGCATTCGTCAGTTTCAATGGCGTATTATTTCTCACTTGCCTAATGTTAAAGTCACCTGATTTTTACATCTTTTCTACATTTGCTAAACATGTAGTATTGTTTTATCACTCTTCTCTTATATACGATTTCTTTTATTCACGTACACTTTCACTCTTGCCCTCCTGCAAGATCTTTAAGCGTTGGCTTAATGTTTAAATGACCAATTCTGCCACATAATTACCACATCTACAATAGTTTCACTTGAGCACACACCATATCATTCTTACGTCTGGGCAGTTTTATTCTCACTCACCAACTTCTTCATAACATTCACCATCTCGTTGCCCTCGTAGCTTTCGCCGCTGGCTTTACTTCTCCTCTCTAAAAGAAACCCGTTTTTTTTCTCTTCGTTTCTTAGGCCGGAAAACGCCCCTTCCATAGTCCATCTTGTCGCTTTCCTCCTTCCAACCGCAGATTTTGCATTTCTCTCCGCCCTGCCGCCGAGAGCGCTCCCCCCCTCCCCCGCTTATTGCGCCTCGTTTCGTTGCCGCTTTAATCTTTTCGTCTCCGCGCCGTCGCGAGGCCGGGCCGATTGAAAATAATTAAGAATGCTGTAAGTTGCTGACGTTAGACGCTTCTTCAAGAAACACGGGCCCTCCAGGGCGCGGGCTAATTGAAAGACGACGACGCTCTTGCGTAAAAACACACGACAGATTGTTTCATCTATTCCTCAAGATGGGCATATTATAAGGTTGGAAGGACGGAATGAAAACAAGGCAGCAGCGACGAGAGCGGATCAAAGCCTTGGGCGCAATTTCTCTTAAGCATTAATAAGGACGGAAACTTAATAAAGTATGTCATACGAAATCAAAATTAGTCTTGGAAGACTTCTAGGCGAATATTATTCAACAAGCTAAAGCTATAATATACCGTGCAGGTTTATGCGGGCAGGGAGATTCGAAACAATGTCGGTTTGGCCATAAAAGTGTTTTCCACATTAATATGGTGATCAAAAAGTACAATCGAAAAAACTTCGTAAATGGAAGCTTTGATACTATATTATATGTGTTGTAAACTTTTCATTTTTTGAAGGCACAAAATTTACGTAATTTTCTTTCAGCTGAATTCATAGTACTATTGATGGGAAAATTAGATTTAAATATGGATGATATGAAGAAGTAAAAGTGTAAAAGTCTGAAAATTAAATACGTCTTTCGCACGAAACTATTGTCTTGGTTGACCTATAAAAATACATACTTTGTAGTTAGAGTATTGAAATTCACCAATCAAGCACTTGAAATCGTTAATAAATTCAAAGAAGGACTTATTAGTTATATTTCCAAGTGCTCACAAGTTCTCAGTTACATTAAAAAATAAAATTATTTTCAAACATCCTCACTTTTGTTAAGAATCTCCCAAGATAAAATTTCCTACCATAATTTTTGGTATTTGAAAATATTTTTCACAATAAATATTTTGAAAGTGCAAGAATTAATATTTAAAAAAATATAATACCTGCCAATTTCAAATCTTCACAACTTTGTAATTAAATAATCAGGGATTTCCGTTTCAATGGTTTGAAGAAACCTAAAAAATTATGCAAAGAAATAAAATTTTATATGCATGTTATACGAAACGTCTTTACTTGTATTAGAGTATGAGTGAGTATTATACATTTGGGTACATCAATATTGTAATTACATATTGATATGCCAAAAGAACAACGTACGTTTAACAGATAGAATAAAAAATATGTTTTTGAACTACAGAATAACACACACTTCCCCGTATTATTTTTCTATTTGGTTTGGTTTAGACTAGCTATTCGAACTTGGCACACTCTTTGGTCATGCCAGCTATAGCCACCCAAAGAACATTTCTGATTTTTTCGGTTTCGTAGTGGGAGAACGGAAATACTACTTTAAGAACATTAACAAACAGTAAAACCTCGCCCATAATGACAATTTTGTTTGAAAAATTTGTAGACATTACGAAAATGGCGCTTAAACTCTACTGTAAATTTGAAATTTAGTTATTTTTCACAAAAAATGTTTGAGATTTCGAAAAACTTCATTAAAAGTCATTTAAAGTATTTTAACTCTCATATACAATAGTGTTTACTAATTTCTGGAATTGTGCATATTTGAGATCTTGCCAATAAATTACATTTGTGTAGTTTTCGAAAAAATAAATACTCCGAATGTACTTAACGTCATATTAAAGAGTGCAATTAGTACTATCCGCTCAAAAAGTTTGAAGAAAAATTTGGAGCCATTTTTTGATAAAATGGCGTTTGAGCGTTTTTGAAAATGCGGAATTTTGAGCTAGTTTTCACACAAAACGGTTGATTGATTGTTTTAGTGATTTAGAGCACGTCAACCACCAGGGCCATTAGTTCCGTAAGTGTAGTGCATGTTTGTGCTCAGGAGGTAGCAGTGATCTTTGTCATAAAAATCCTACGCATGGGTTAGATGTTAGTGTTGTTCACACACACCAGACAGACGAACGGACATTTTGAAAATAAAAACATTTTTTGGTGTCTAAGAAGTGTAAATCAGTTGAAATCTCGAAATCGATTTTCCGCAGCATTGAAAAATTTTCCCTATACTACGATTATTACTCCGTAGCATGCATACGGAAAAGTAAAAAATATAATGCATTCTCCCATTCCATTCGCTACAAAATGTTGCCAAATTTTGACAAACATGATGAATCATGAGACAATGCGGATACTTTTGTATAGTATTATTTCGCACGCCCTTGAAACGTTCAAGTTAATTTGCATCCTAGTTTATTTCTTTACAAAAGCGATCTACTACATTATTCATTTGCCTAACTCGTCCGTTTTGACAGCGAATTTCTTGCTTGGGTGAGGGGGCCCCCGCGCCGGGCGACGCGGAGGAGGAGGAGGAGAGCAGCAGCTCCGCTTTGTGCAGACCCCGCCGCTACGCGTTGCCGGCTCTCTCGGCTCTCTGCCCCGTTGCAACCTTCATTTCGAGTGCAATTTATTCACCCGATTCGCTAACTTGGCAAGTAATGGATTGTTTTTAATTTACTCAGGAATTCTTAATCTATTATTAATTCTTATTATATTTGTTATTATTATTACTGTTATTATCTCCTCTAAATCCACAACTTAAAATGTTGACTGTCGGTAAAATAACAACCAATAAAATGCTTTCAGTTTCCTAACGAGCAGATGTACGTTCCTTTAGAATACCATGGCTATTACGCAACAACGCAATATGTATTTTGCACTGGTTTTAAGAACGTGGATTGAGAAAATACATCTTTCAGTCTCACCGAAGAATATAGGTTTCAGACTCACTCCAGTTGAAGCTCTGATGTTTTTTTATCAATATGTTAAGATGAAAAATGTATGGAAAGAAATTATTTTCTTAAGCAGGCATTCAGTCGGTCTTGTACCTTTGAGTTGGGAAAGTATTTTCTTTTATATGTTAGAAATAAAACGGCCAAATTTTTATGCTAATTACATTATAAACGTATGAGTTGATTGGCGGAAAGTATCGCGGTTATTTTTCTCTTGCTGGCGGCATAGTATCTTCAAATTAAGAAGGCATTCCCCACAGGTAAGTACCGATTGCGCACTGAACTCAGAGTGATACAATGGATGCATTATAAGCGTAGACTTTTTTCTTTCACAGGAGTGCACATGTGCATTTGTGTCCTGGGATGAATCGGTGTTGTCCTCTTGCGGTGTGTCCTTTTTGAGTCTGTAAAACTTGGATTTGGGCAAAACAGTATCGAAAGTTCCAGAACACCCGGATCAGCGCGTACACAATCTGCATCCGCTGTTCTTAGCTTCTTCTTTAAATCCAACTATAGACCAAGGTATCGCAGGCGCGTGGTAGGCACAATAAGAGCTATACCATCAGTACAGCTCTGAAGAAGGCCACAACACGATGGCCGAAACGTCAGCTCGATCGACTGAGACGCGGCTCATCCCGGGTAGCCTAGCATCCAATTTAGATTCCACCCCCTATTGCAACGCATCCACGTGAGTCAAAAACCCACAATCGGCAGAAAACAGCTGAAAATATAAAAAAATGAACGAAAAGTTTCCGAAAGTATGCACCCATGTCGAAGTGGACCCTCTTGCAATAGTCCAAAAGTAAATTTCAAGAATTCAAAAATAGACAGAATATTGTTGTAGAAGTAAAATATTATAGGTAATTTTAAATATGTTTAATATTTAAAGGGCCCCAGGATTACCTTGGCCCTCTCTTGTTTTAAGCTACACAAACATTTTTTCTTTATTAATATTTATTTATCCTTGTTCGACTTTATAGTCGTTCAATGGTTTTTAAAAATACATATTACAATCATAATATTAATTCCAAGAACCTGAAACTTTCAACACTACAATTAATGGGGTTCATGAGTCCTGGTTTCAGACACATAGCTTCGTGAACGCTGTTTGGAATGCGTTTCAGAGAGACGCAGAGGAAATAAACTCTTGAATGAAGGCACAACTAAAATATTTTGGAGTAGAATTATACAAGGGATTTTTGAGAGACATGTCTTGTTTAATTTGTCATAAAACGTGTTCTGAACCTTCCAGCATATCGATCAGCATTGATCAAGTAATTTTTACCCGGAGGCAGTAAATAAATAGTTGATTGTCGCATCCTATGGAAAGATCAGTTTTCTGGAAATTTTGTGTTATAAAAGTTACTACTGCTAAGGTATTTTAAAATGTTTACATTCATGTAACTTCAATCACTAACATGTAACAGATACTTTGAAAAAATACGCGCAAATATATGCAGGGTGAATCAAAAAGAAGAAGCATATTTTAAATATCTATAACTACTGAACGACACTAGATATAGACACATACGGCACATCATTGTGTAGAGGAATATACAAAATTTTATTTTGGACAGTCAACATGACAGCCATTTGTGACTACCGCGACAAATCAAGAATCGATAGTCCATTTCTTGTCAAGCACGAATTAACTGGTCGCTGGTAACTGAGTTCACTGCTGTAAAATTTTGATCTCGATGATCTTGGGGAGTAGTAGGTTTAGGTAGTACATACATCTCGTATTTTATGAACCCCAAAAAATAAAAATTGCAGTTCGTCAGATCTGGTAACCTGGGAGGCCACTTACGATGAACAAGATTATGTTCTCATTTCTTCGAATCCATCGTCCTGGAATTGTTCGTTCGAATTATACCGTACCTCGTAGTGAAAGTGAGGTGAGCACCGACTTGCACGAAGATAAAATCGTCCGAATCTTCTTGAATTTGTCGTACTCCAATGTAATCTGTAATCAAATCTTTAACACTTCTCTCAATGAAAAAGCTTTGTTGAAACATAGAGCACATTCAGCTTTGCAGAATATCTTTCATGTTCAATTTTAATGCAGAGATTTTCAGTCCCCTCAAATACTGACATTGTGGCGATTCACTTTACCAGAGTTATGAAACGTTGATTCTTCGAAAAAATTAGTCTTTCAGTAAACGTGTCATCTTCCATATCTTCCAACATAGCAATACAAAATTCAGATCTTTTCGGATGATCTCCAGGACGCAATGCCTGAAGTAATTGTAACTTCAGACTTCTGACACAGATGTTTTTAAGCACACTCTATACTGTTGGTTGCGAAATTCGAAGTTCTCTGCTTCCTCTTCTAGCGGATTTTGTAGGGCTACGTTCGTAAGCCGATCGGATACGCTCAACATTTTCATCTGACGTGCGTCTGACGCGGGGGCTCTTTGTTGATTTCGCCACGAAATAATGCACTCAAGCAATGGATTCACTCTCTGCATACTGCAGCACACAAAACGACTTTTCGCCTTTTGTCACTATTTTCTTATAAAACAAACTACAGCGCAGCGATAAGTATTGAATGAAATTAATAGGTAAAAAGCTTAAAATGTGGAATTTTTCTCTATCCAGTGATGTGTTGTATATGTCTCCATCCATTGCCGTGAATTAAAACCTGTATTAAAAATGAACTTTACTTCTCCTGGACGCACCTAACACTATCGGCGTGGGTATCGCCGAATCATAATTAGAACCTCGGTGGACGTTTCCAATCCTTCACCACGACTTTTGCATGTGGGAGGTCCCCCCCCCCGGCGCGGTAACTCCCAGCGGCCGCAGCGTTTGCCTTCGCCGTCGACGCACAGACCCCCTGGTTCGTGGTCTTGGTACGTAGAGCCGCCCACGCGACGACCCACGAGCGGCCCGGCAGCCAAAGCTGTGGCGCCGCCAGTCCCACCAGTCGTCCAGTTAGTGCCCAAGTTGGGTGGAATAAGTTGAGCGCAAATTAGGTCTAGTATTGTCAATAAAATGAATTAATATAGGCGTTATCACTTCTTAGATAGTTTAAAGATGAACCAATGAATGATGGAGAACCACATTCTAAAGTATATAACAATTAACCAGTTTCACTATCAAATATTGTTAATAATATTAGATAATGGTGAAAGCGACAAACTGATAATAGTTTTAGTAGTAATGTAGTATTGATATATTATTTCAGAACTGTAAATATCTCACGAAAAACAGCACAGCTAAAACGCGTTAATCAAACCTACTAACTCTAAATTAATTTCTGTTAATTTAAATTACAAAACAGATCTCCCAAAAAAACGCTCGAAAACATGATTACTCACAGGCAGCTGCATGTTATATCGTGAAAGTAAATACAGCGAAGAAATTAACAGTTCGAAAACTAAACTATTAACATTTGGCAGTGGTCGAAATTACGCTGCATCTGATATTAGTTGAGTAACGACTTCCCTCGAGTATCGTTTAAATTCCTTAGAATTCAGTTAGATTTCCTTCTATTTGTTATGGAATAATGTGTGATTTACTGAGATCCGTGTATAATGCTTCTCACAAAGCTAATTTGGAATGAATTCAAAAGAAGAATTCAAAGTTTACCTAGGGGAAAACACATTAAACGCATCATGGGAACTGCTCAAAAAACTAAAAAAGAGCCTCTGCGTTTTGTATAAGTTGTAAGTCAATCGATGCGGCAGGAAAATCAGAATACTGTAGAGATGCGAATGACTTACGTTGGTAAGGAAGATAAAAACACCAAACGTTGTAATTAATTGACAGGGAAAATCATTTAATGAAGGACTATGTAAGTCACTTTATCCTCAAAATGATAAAACTTTATCACTTCCGTTTTTCGTGTAATTAAATTATTGTATCGGCACACATTTTCCGTACATCTGACATTCTGACATTTTATAATGTACAGCTTTAGAAATTAAAATAAATAATATCATTTACTCTCTATATTCTATTTAAACCTTGAAACAAATCCTTTCTAATCAAATTAAAAATATTCATTTTTTAACATACTAATCCAATTATACGCATGGAAGACTTCAACAGCAAAAACACTTTTTGGGGATGCAACTTATCAAATCCACAGAGTATTCGTCTACCAGACTATATAATTCAAAATAATGTACACGTACATGCTCCCTTTGAACCAACGTAATCTAATCACAACAATCTAATATCATATATTTTATATATAATAATTACAAAAATTGTCAATTGGCAATTTTTTCAATCGTCATTTCTCAGGGCCTCGAAAATCGATGGGTAAATATCAATTTTGAAGAACATTGTCTGAACTGTTTATGCCCCTTATTGACCTCAGACGGAAATATAGACGTTTTGTCGTCAAGGGTTAGTAATTTATTACATTTTTATCCACTTTTTTGGTACCAGGGTCCCACAATACGAGATTTTTGTCAAACAATACCTGATTTTTGCTGCAGCACGCCGTGTGCAAGTTATTCAAAGTTAGTATAATAGTTAAGTGTGTTGTACGATATTCTGATTATGTTACTATAATAATCAGTTACAACACATTTGAACGCATTTGAACTCGCGTGCCTTGCCACCTCGCGCGTATTGATCTTCCTGCTTAAACAGTGACTACGGGAAACCATTCTAGCGATATCATCTTTATTTCATGCACCACGAACACTCCAACGTATTCTGCCGTACGGCAGGCCTGCCAACGTGCCTGTCGCAACCCCTGGGCGCAACAAGGGTGTCCCCTCCTGGCCGGAACTGGGAGTGGGCTGCTCGATGCATCAGCACACATGACATGCTTCCAGCCATCGCAAGTAACTTCCTGAGTTCTTTTTTACAGCAGTACGTGTCAATTCGAATATGATATCTAATTATCAGGCCAGCGGTGGTGGTAACCAGGGAACATTCGTTCTAGTAACGGGTCAGTATTGTTTATTGTAAATATTGTACATAGTATTCAGGTGTTGGAGCATTTTTTCAAATATATACTTAATAATTTACAAACCGTTCACGTCTGTGATTTCACGGTAAAGACGCCACAATATCAATTGCATAACAGCTACATACAAGTTCCACAACCTTCCAATTGTGGTGGTTCCAAGATAAGAGTCATACTCGTGTCCGAATTCCCAATAATTTAATTTTTTGGTAGCTGTTTCCATGGTTTCAGTTCATACAATCACGTGTTACAAGTTTGTTCTCATTTCTTTGCAATCAAATGAATGCACTTCTAATTACTATTCTTAACATTTTCCAATTAATTCTCTATAGAGAATTGTAATTTGCAAACTTAATAATCCTATTACTTTATTGGAAGTTGTACATTATCGAAGGACTCGGGGTATGATGTGTAACAGATTACATCTGTCAATGTTCATACCACCGCGCACATTGCCTCCACCATGGCTGCTTCAGTCAAAGTACACTACTTCACAATACTCTTACAAAATCGTCATCCTGAGACATCGTATGTTTGCACTTCTTCCCCTGGGACCCTTGGCAGTTGTCTGGTGACAAAATAACAATGTCCATTCCAACAAGTATGTCAGGCACTCATTGTTAACTTCAGCTGCCGTTTCCCAGTCGCCGCACGTTTCATTCTATTTGCTTCCTGTGCTATTAATTTGTATCGTATTGACACGCGTTTTATTCTGCGTATACACCTACTATTTCATTTAGTGTGACGTGTCTCCAAGCGGTATGTATTTACATAGTGCGTTATGTATTTTATGAAAAAAAAATTTTACTCGACTTGTTTCATCTTCTGTAATATGCATGGATCATATTTCAGATACATACACGCTTTAAGCTTTATTGTATTTCAAGCCAAGTTTGGCAATCAAATAAGAACTATGGCAATAAGTGAAAGTAATTTTTCCAAAAATACATATTTTCTCAACTATTAATGAAGAAATGCATGACGATCAATATTTGTTTTTCTTTTCACTTTCCATTTTTGATTTAAGAACAATACAATGCTTAATTGGGAAATGATTTCTATTTTCTTGAAATGCAGAAAAGTGTCATTCCTTGCAGACTAAGGTTATTAAAGCATTTATAAACTCAAGTACGTGGACACTATATGCTGTTCCCTTGCACCGAGCTTCAACATTTTCATTTTTTTTTTTTATTGTTCAAAACATATAAATTCTAATGAATTTGTAACAAAGTGTTGTAAACGATTTTGAGGGCATTGCTGCGTCTCGATCATATCCCTTGATCCAACTCTCCTTAAAAGTAAGGTGCGCTATTATTTTACTCTTTCGAAATGGTTAAGATGTTTACATTGATGTTAATTGAAAAGTTCGTTATTTTTGTAGAATGGATCTGAGGCAGGATTGTCTAAGGTAGATGGCTCTAAGGATTTATGACAGAAACATTTGACGCTACAATTTTGTTTATCTCCAGGTGTTTGTCATGCAAGAGATAACCGAGGTATGAATTCCACTCCCTGCCAAAGTCAAGTTCTCAATTTTGCATTGAGTATCAGTGTAATTTTGAGAAAATTTGCATATTATTATCTAGAGTTTCTGACAACACAGCCTGGTTTAAATATAAAATTTACTCTGTTTCCATATAATCTATGGATTTGCAACGAAAATGAATACGAAAATTTTGGAATTACAAAACAATTATTTTTCAGCTTAGTTTTTGCTTCCGTCAAATAACTTATTTTTTCAAAGATAAGTGTTTTTCATTGGATCTCTTAAATTTTTATATTTACTGCGGATTTATAATGGCATTGAGCAAGAAACTAGGTTAGTCATGGGTTCACTTCATTTCCTCCCAGAGTCATTTTAGGAGAGGAGAAATTCACCAGGATCACCGCCGCGCCTGCTGATACGCTCCAAGACTAGTTGGCATCTTGGCCCTCAGCTCCCCGTCGGCCGCCGCGGACGGCGCATCTGCACTCGAGAAGGCGGCCGTGCGCGGACCACTATGCGCATCCGACACGGCACGACGTCTTCTTAAGAGACGCCCCCTCCTCTCCCACCGGCCCGCCTGCATTCCCACCTACCATCCCCGCTC